TGTACATCATCTGCAGAGGGTTGAGTTTGGGAGCAGTGCTGAACACAGGGCCCTGAAGAGAAGTGTGGGAAGCGGCGTGCTCCGTCCTGGTGTGGTAGGGCAGGAGGAAGGGATGGAGGATTGGAAGGGGGGCTTATTTCCTATATAAAAATATGCTTTAAAATGAAGCCTGCTCTAGGAAACCTCTCTGCGCTTTCAAAGCGTATCATGGAGAATAAATGTGTTCTAATGAAGTTCTGCAAACAAAGGTGTTCACAAAGAGCAAGCTCAACCTGCAGTTCCCTGGTAAGGACTGAAGGGTGAGGCAGGATGTGCAAAATGGATGGGATTTATTGCATTTATATACAGAAACCAGAAAGTGAAATTGATTTAATAAGTTATCTGGATAGAGTAATAAGGCAGATTTTTTTTTTTTTTTAAACAGCTGCTATCAGAACAATAAAACCAGGCTCTGCAAGTATGTTCTAAAAAAGGTCAGCAAGGAAATCTCAGTGTGTCCAACCAGTTGTACATCAATTTTTTTGTTATATAGCAAGCCTGCTGGTGTCTGCTAAACCATTTAAACAAAACACAAGCTTCCTTCCAACCCGGTCATGAATGCATTAGCCCCTTAGCCTGCAGCATAGCTCTGTTTTCAGTCACAGCTCTTCCTCACCCCCCACTTTGTGTTCCCTTTTTCGTACTGCAAACAACTTCATCCCAGGTTATTTCCAACAACTGAACCTGTTGCTTTCTTAGCCCCATTCCTCAGTGTCGACCCAACTCATCCACCTCTGGGAGCATCTTAGGATGCTGCATCCCAAAACAAGTAGAACCGATTTCTTCCTAATACATCTGACTTCTCAAAGGCCAAATAAAGGCTCCAGATGCATTAAAAGAACCCCCACACCGGAGCTGAAAGGCAAATGAGAAACCTCAGGGGAGATGTCCAAGGAGCGAACAACGAGCAGCATGCTTGCTGAGTAAGCATTCTTCTACAAGGTCCCTAGCGGTTAAAAACCCAAAAAGGATAAAAACGCATTAAGCTCTTTGCCCTCCCAAACTCATGAAGTTTTAACTCAGCAACGACTCCACAGGCTCACATGCTGCAGCACGTCTCTCCTCCAGACTTCACTTTTTTACCTCTTCTACAGCTAATGATGGGGAGATAAAAACTACTTAAAACCCGAATGCACAAACCCATCTCTCTCACCAATGCCGCTGACCCCCTTCAAGGTGGCGGGAGGGTCTGACACAATCCAAACTGGCTCATCGTTTGAGCCGAGCTCCATGATGCCGATCCACACAGGAGACAGCCCCGCTTCCCCATGGGCTACTGACAGCTTCGCTTTCTGGTTCCCTCAGACTGGTCCAAGTTCTGCAACACCTGGGCTGTGAACACTGCAGTAGGTTGCATTTTATGTATTTGTTTTTAGAAAAAAAAATAAAAATCTATGCAACTGAAAGGGAGCAAGGTGGTTTTTTTTATTGCACATAGTACTTTGAATTTCTGAAATGCCCTTTTAATTTTTAATCTATTAGACTCCAAAGATAACAGAAACCTTTAAAATAAGTGCTATTTTTATTTTTCCAATGTAATTAAATCGTTTTCATGTTCTTGAATATCACAGGATCCAGCATGTATGACAACATGAGATGATTACGGCGGGAGTGTTTAACAAGAAAAATGCCTCCCTTTAAATTCTTTCGCTAGTCACAGGTGGGAAAAACAGTAAGGAGGCTGTGGCCCCATCAGAAGAAAAACCTAAAACAAAAGGGGGAAAAAAAGAATAATTTCCTGTGTTACATCTTTCAAGGCTGAGCCCGTGTTACCCATCCACCACACCGAGATCCAGGCTGCATCTTCCTCCGGCAACAGCCAAAGAGGGGACACTCTTTGCTCAGAGGTAATGACCCCGATATAGGGCAGAGCTCACAACTGAGGGGTCTTTAAGCCTCAGCCCTTGTTCCCAAAAGTAAAGACAGGACTGTGCCATTTAGCTTTTCCTAAATCTCTGCCCAAAAGACTTCACAATCCTTCAGCCTCCGCAGAATGAAAACAAACACGAATGAGTAACAATCACTTGATCATCAGTAAAGTGAGGCCTCGCTCCCCTTCCCTTTCCCCCTTGAAAAAAAGTTGCCAAGCAGACATCTCTCAGGTTCCATCCCAGCCACTCCGCCTCATTTTATATGAAAATAAACTCTAAAGCCGAGGACTCGGGCAGGAGGGATGCGACGCCCCCAAACTGGTTTTCATGTTCTGGCTTGCACGGGTCTTTGAGGACTGCTCCCACAAGTGTTGCTGCAGGGGACAGGCTCTTCTGCAAGCGCTGGAAGCATCAGCTGGGGTTACCAGTCAGCACAGAAGAGACCGGCCTGGGAGCTGCTGGTTTGTCCTCGCAGCAAGCCAACAGAAGCTGCCTGTTTATGCCTGATCACAAGATCTATGCTTGCATATTTCCCTCCACCTCCGCATTCCCCCCCGCCCTTAGTAAAGCGATTTCCCACAATTTCTGTAAATGAAACAAAATTAAAGCACTGCCTCTTCTGTGCAGCTTGCTTCCTCCTCTTCCCCACCCAAACTGAATTTTCTCTCCCAAACCAGCAGCTGCTTGCTTTACAATAGCAGAGAGAGGAGGGAGGGCCACACAGTACGTGCTCTCTGCTGGTGGAGCAGGCGCTCGTCCAGGGCAAGGTCAGGCCTCCGGATCAGCTTCCAGCTTCGTTGTGGGCTTCTCCCACCAACCCGGTGCTAACGCTGGCTTAAAGGAGTGTCCCTTGCAGGAAGGCAGCACGTACCTGACTTCTACACCTCAATGGCTGAGGGTCAGTTTGAGTAGACGGGACCTTAAACACATAAAGGGCAACTCCCTCCTGCTCCAAGTTGGTAAGGTAGCAGGAAAGAAGTCACGTATTCTTCGCTCCGCACTCCTTCAACCTTACCACTACACGCGCTCGATCCCTCCCCATCTGCCCTGATGAAACCAGTGAATGAGACAATTTGCTCAAGCTTAGACCATTTCCAAGGTAGGCGTTAAAAACTAAATACAAACATTCCCATGCTTATTTTTTTTAAAATTCCAATAGCAGATGTGTAAACAACATTCGCCCTGTACAGTACTTGAAGCTGAGACACCCCAGCCCACTGCAAAACAACATGGGATGCTCATCATCCAAACGGAACAAAAAATAGCCAAACCGGATTTATCAAATCCTTGTGTTAATGCAAGGTAACATGAGCAATAAGGAAGGACGTTTAAAATACTGTATTTTTAAATTAATACCATCCCTCTAAAACAAGGATAGGGAAAATAGAATTCTTTTATCCACAGGCACACGCTGTCCCAGGTGTCCTGGGATTTTACAGCTAGTCGGGAACAGGAGCAGTGGGTGCATGGCTGGATACTATGGCCAATCCCCATTTCCAGGAACTGGAGCTAAGCCACAGTGACTTTTTATATAAAGGTGTTGCTTTTACCAAGCGGTCTGATGGTATGTTCCTGGAACAACAAGGATGAGGATGGTGAGGATCAAAAACCAAAAGCAAAGCAGCAAAGCCAGCATCCCTATTTACCTGTATATTGCCACATGATGTGTAAGGCTATATCATTTTGCTCCTTCAACTCAAAAATTTAGCAGCTTCGCACAGGGCAAACACTCCCCTAGTTACTTCAAGACAGTTATGACAAGGTACATGCATCTAAGAAGCCAACCCTTCTTGCTGAAACCAATCCCAGGGAACACAGTGTCCAGACCTCCCCGGTGAAGAACCTTACAGCCACCACAACGCTCTTGTGATAGGGTCACCTACCCCAAATGTACATGGCTTCCTGCAAAAAGAGTGTCCTCTTAACAGCAGCCAGGATACTCTGACCTGCTATACATAACTGGGAGGGGCAGAGGTATACGTATTTTTGGATATTTTTTTTTTTTTACCTGCTACCAGAATTTGAAACAATCTTCAAAACTTAGGTTCACGGATAAGCTAAGGTGTCCTCTGGCACTGCTGTCAATGCAGCCACCCTTCCCTCACAGCAACAGGCAACTGTGTTATATTTAGGAGAGTCTCTATAAATGCTGCACAAGGAAGAAGCCCTTCTCTGTGGGCCCACTGAAGCCCATTAGGATAAAACAGCAGACTCTTGCTGTATGAAGCTAGGAAGACACACTAGCCTCTGAGATGACAGCTACCCGGGATTAAAGAACCAAGGTACCTAGTGTGGCTGGAAAGGTAGTTTGGGATTGCACCAATGGCACTAGGCATTCACTACCTATGGGCATTTTTTTTTTCTCTCGACATTTTCAAACCCCTGGACCACTTCCAGATTACATCTGAAGAGTGTTACCTCTGTCTGGAGACCTGACCAAAAGGAACCTAAGCTTTAGTGCAGAACCATCCTAATCGAAAAAGCTTTGAGACATACAGCTGATTCAGAAGAGCGGGGCCACAAATTTGGTTCCAGTCCTGATGCCTCAGTGAACGGGGCTAACTCCTAGGTTAACGCAGAGTTGGTTAACTGAAAGTCACACCTTCCAAGCTTTCTGGACCCTGCTAACTACAGGCCATTCTCCAAGGCCCTTCTAGAACATAACATCAGGAGCTGCTCTGGCACGAGACCAAAGCTGCAAGGGTTGGTTTATTGGCAGTACAGTCCAGTCCCAGCTTCTCGAAACACAGCATAACCAAGTGGGCTGCACAGGTAGAGAAGGAAGGAGGAGACAAAAGCGATTTTCAGGAATGGACTCCTGCAGAGATGGTTTTTGAGAGAGGGTCGGAGGGCATTCCTACACATTGGACTTCTCAGCCTTCAGCGCTCTAGCAATTCTCAATGAACTGTTATTGCACAGCTAAGTTGTCACACAGCCCATCTCATCTGAGGCGCTTCTAGACATCACAAGCTGCCCCTTCACTGGGATCCCTCCCAAGCCCAGCTTCAGTCCCAGTGAGGCGTTTTGTCCTGCCCTATCACAAAGAGGATGCTGGAAGAAGAGCCTATATAACATATATACGTATATATAAACTGTGTCTGCACCCAGCGAGCAAGCGGCTTTAGGCCCTGCTCTCTGGGCAGCAGAAGGGCTAGAGAGGCTGACAAGCTGCAACAAGCCGGTGTGAGGAGGAGAAAGGCACGAGAAAAGAGCAGCCCTTCAGAGACTGCTGTCAAACATCTGGCTGGGGAAGAGGAAAGAAGAGCTCAAATCCACTCTGTTCCTTGAGCCCCTGATGCAGATGGAATGGGGAAGCCAGCGCTGCACCAACCCCACTGGTGCATCCAGGAGGCAACCTGGCGACATCCTTTGGATCTTCAGCTGAGGGCGTCTCTGCTTGGAGGTATCCAGGGTACAGCTCGCGAGGATGGGGAAGGCTGCACAGAGTGCTTCTGTCCCAAAGGCAGGGGGAGGGGAGGAGGAAGAAATCCAAGAGGGAGAAGGCTAGACAGACACAGCAGGCCTCATGCTTCCTTCAATAAGGGAATATCTGAATGGTGGGGAGAGAAAAAAGAAAAAGTAGTCAAACTTTTGCAGTTCAACACACACCAAGAACAACCACTGTTGAAAGCTAGACAGGCTCCCACTTCCATGTTGTTGTAATGCAGTGGTCTTCCTGTCATCACAACACAGCAGAAGGGACCTCTAGAGGGCTCTGCTCCAACCTGCCCCAGAGAGCAGGACCATCGCCAGCTCCAGCCTTGAAAATCTCAAAGGACAGAGACTCCACCACCTCTCTGGGTGCCCATCTAGTCCTGCACTACTCTCCTAGTGCAAAATATTATCCTAATGCCCAATCTGAATCTGTCAAGTTACAGCTTGTGGCCACTGCCCCATTTTGTATCATTTGGCTGAGAAAAGTTTAGCTTCATAGTCTTTTCAACTCCCTGTAATTGTAGTCAATTGTTGGCTCGGTCCTCAGCTGCTTCTTCACCAGATTAAAGCAGCCCAGCTCCCCCAGCCAGTCCCCACAAGCCCCTGGCTATCTTGGCAGGCCTCCAACAGAGCCTGTCCACATCTCTCCACAATCCTCTTGAACTGGGGCTTCCACAAGAAGGTAACAGTATTCCCAGTAAAGCCTCACCGATGCTGTTTAGGGAAAGGTAATAACTTCCCTTAAGAAAAACATCCCTTCTCTCCCATGACCTCATTAGTCTTTTAGTTCCTCAAAATGTCCCAGACATGTTTCTTACTGTGACAGGGATGAAGAAACGCAATACTGAATACCAGGACTGAAGAAATGCAACCTCCTCCAGTAGCTGCAGCTTCCTCATCTTTGAGCCATAAGCACAAGCTTTATGGTCTCTCCTGCTGCAAGGGGCAATCTCTACTGTACAATAAGCCTTAGAGGTAATACATGTTTCAGGCAGTGATAAAAATGACACAGTGCAGAGGCAACATCCTCCAACTTCTACACTGCAGGCGTGTTTTGTTAAGCTCCGCTTTTGAATTTCTGCTGTTGACGCACTTAAGGTTTAATGCCCATCTCAGGACATGTTGCCATTTCTGTCCTTTAGCGGACATCCCCTTTAACTGGTTTTACTGCAAGGGTTCTGGATCGCATTACAGCGGCTGTAGGGCTTGACACCATGGAAAGGAGTAGATAGCTCATGTCCTAAGCTATCTACAAACCAGTTACGCTTCTTCCCTCAGACACAGCAGTCTCTGCAGAAGCAATCTTAAGGTGCAGCTTCACATCAGCTCTAGCATTGTAATGCCACTCCTTTGGGGCAGAACAGCAGTCAAGAATGCAAGATGCACTGACTGTTTAACTGACTTCCCCCTCTGCCCTGTACATTAAGTTCAAGCACATCCCTTTTAGGTCTTCTTGCATGCCAAGGCTGCGGCACTGTATGCACTGTGGCAATAAGCTGCCTACTAACACATTCTAAAAATGAAAAAGCCCAAGCATCACAAAGGGTTTGTATTCCAAGCATATCCTCCCACTCCCACCAACTTGTTTTCCACAAACACAGCTATTTTACTGCATTTGCACTGTGATGCTGGAGGCTGGCATTTCTCTGCAAATCCTTTGCTAAGACAACAAGAGTGAGCAGCAGAACCCCAAGTCTTTCCAGACTGCCCCAGGTTCCCAGCCTGAGAGCACTGCATACTTCAGAAAAAGGTATTAAATACTGCTTGTGCATCTAAGTTGTGAAATGTGCCACAGAGACTGGGACAACTCTTCTCAAAAGCTTCTCTGGAGCCTGACAAATCATAGGGGCATTCCTTGCCATTTTCATCCTACGTGGTAGTCAACTGCAGAACCTACTTCTATAGGGGTCTCATTCAGTGCTCCTTGCCCAAGTCACGTACCATCTGTGTATTCCTCGGAGGAAGTGAGTGATAAAAGGCTCTGTATGTCACTGCTTTCTGAATCTTGGACCTCTTTTTGTACAGGTCTACTGCTAGCCATGCCAGCTACCCAGGAAGAGGTAGCAGCCTGATGCACAAGAACAGTTTCAGAGCGCTGAGAGCCACTGGCTTCACATAGTCCAGAATGTCCAGGGGCTTCATCTTCTCTTTCAAAGCTGTTGAGAGCCCCTTGGTCCTGCTGCTGCATCTCTCTGGCTCCGTTCTGCCCAGCTCCCTCCGAGAGCACGATCTGCACTCGGGAGTCCGAGGGTGGAATGCAGTTCCCTGCGCTGCCATACACCGCTTCTTCATAGGATGGCAAGGCCACTTGGACACCATCCACCATGATAGAGACCTGATCTCCAGACACACCTTGGTCTCGCCTCAAAAAAAAAAAAAAATAAAAAAAAAACCAAAGAGGGAGGGGAGGGGAAAAGAAAAAAAATCATGTTGAGCATTTATATTTTTATATATGTTACTGAGAACTCTAGCAACCTCCCCACAGCAGAACTCTAATGCTCACCATTGACTTATTTAGGGGAGAACAGACAGAAACATGAACGGTGATTTAACAAGGTTGAGCAACCATGGCCTTGCATCCCTACTGTGAATTGCCATAAACATGAGCAGGGGCTGTAATTCACAGTGCCCGGTAGATTTAGCAGCAAGAGCTGAAAAGGTTACAATGCCTCCCACCTCACCTGCCTCCATAGCTAAATCTGACAAAGATCACGACTCAGAGCCCTCCGCTGTCATAGCCTGCAGATAAAAGAGAGCTCTGACCACTGCTGATTCCAGCTTGTTACACTGCTATATTCTGCAACACCCAGCACTGCTGCCTGTTCTGCCACCTTTGCTGCTGGTGAGATAACCTCTGGCAGGGTGGGGCAGATAGCTCTTAAGCTGGCACAGCGTGAATCACCGAGGCTCACGAGTCAGAGTCCCGAGATTGAATTTTTCTTTTCCAGTGGTTTGGATTTTTCTTCATAAAAGGGCGCACTCCAGAGCCCCACCTCTCAACCTCCCCGCTGCTGGACAGCCATGTCTCTGCTCTTATTTAAGGAGTACAAGTAGCTGATTTGGAAGAGAGAGTCCACAGTGACTTTGTTGACCTCAGCTGGCAGCAGTGTTACGGCTGAGTCCCTCCCCTCATCTACAAACCCAGGCCAGGAGGGTTCTCCTCCCATAGCAGGGAACAGCGGCAGATTTGTTATGTGTATCTTATCAACAGTACTGTCAGAATTTGTCCATGGGATCTCACAAACAAACCGGGGGAGATACATACATATGCCCAGACACACACTTTGGCAGCTATCCAAGACTAGAAGAGGCAGGAGATTGATCTATAGCCAGATTAGCATCGATCATAACTTTTCACATTCAAGGCCATGGAAAAATAGCAAGGAAACCACTCATCAGATGGCATATTAGAAGGGGCACTCCACCTGGGTATTGCAGATGACTATTTCAGACTACTGCTGGACCATGTGGCAGAGGTGCCATTGAGGTGATTAAAGCAGGAGTGGAGAAGCGAGGAGTTAAGTCACTCCAAAATGAAGGCCTAAACCAAGCACCTTAATGGGTTTCTGCTGCAAAGAAACAGGGTGCCTCTGAGCCCCTCCATACCCCAGCTACACTCACCTGCTATGATGGAATGACTTCAGCTTTGGCTGCAGCAAAACAAACAGCACAACTAAGAGCAGAATCAGGGCGACGGAGCTTGCTGTGGAGGCTACTATGGACAGCGTGGGTACTCCAATTGTTGGGGGAGAGTCCTTTTCTACAAAACCAAGAGGAACACAAGGTAAAATTTTCCACTCCCTTAAATCATTGCATAGGGAAGGAAAAACAGCCACACTGCCTGCCCTCAGGAGCTATACTTGGTGCACATGTGAGGAGCCCGAATCTCCCACGCAGTCAAGGCACACCAGCTATCTCTTATAGAGGACAGTTCAGAGCTCAAGCTGACACCTCTCCACCAGCTGTAAAGGGAATCTAAAACAAAACATGCACATACAAGGGTCCTTGGGAAAAACACAAGGCAAACAGAAAAGCAGTGCAAACCGGCGAGGGGAACTGACAGATGGTGCTAAGGGTGATGTTATATACAGAACTGGCTGAGCAAAAGCTAAAAAACGTCCTGATGTCATCAGCAAGGCCAATAATTGTCTAGCACAATAAGCAGGATATTTTAGGCCAAACAATAGGGAAAGTTCCAAATAATGGGTTTTCTTGGCTAATGGAACAGTCTCCCAAAGGAAAGGGTGGAAGTCACCTGGCTGGGTATATTTAAGATACAACAAGTATTCGGTTTCTCTCCCACACAAACACATGCCAGGGAACAGAGAAGGAAGGCAGATGTTGCTTCAGGATGCTGAGTTTTCAGTGAGATACATGTGCCCTGTTCACATTACTCCTTCCTATCCTTCCTCAGCTGCACTGTGTGACTGTATGGGAACCAGTTTGGCTTTTAAAGGTCCCTTGCAAGACAGGAATAAATTGGGAGTGGAGAGAGAACGGCCTGGAGTTGGTATTGCTAAGCGCTGCATATCATGCCTAGAATGCTACACTACTCCTTTTACCTCCCTAGAGCAAATAACTGTCTGTATATATGCTGCCTCTGTCCCTAATTTATGTCTTTGTTAGAGATCTGAAAAACGTCACTTGCCCATCGGCAAACACTAGTGTGCATTTCACATTCAAGACATCCCCATGTATCAATTCTTCAATTCCTTTTTGCTACACTCAACACATTCTTCAGGAGCACAGGTCTCAAGCTGCAGGGGGACACAGGACACACCTGCGGGTAGAGATGAGGGGAAGAAGAACATGCAAATAGAAGAAAAGCTGGAGGACCACTGTTTTTAAGACTACAGCCTGAAATCTACGCCCAAAAAAAGGCATGTAAACTGAAAGCAAGTTTGTATTTTTTTCATCTTCTCTTGAGGACAAACCTACTGGTTTAGTTGTTTTGAACTTGTTTTCCTGAAATTTTTGAGAAGTAGCTTGACCTCTCTCCAGCAAAAAACAATGTTTGGTACGTTTTTCCCTATGGCAAATAGGGTTGAGTAAGGATTTCCATTTTCAACATTACTCAGGGTACTGAGTACACTGACAGGGAAGAGGGTAGGCAAATAGAGGTGCTCTGTTTTCAGCATCGGTACACAATGCCGTAAAACTGCTCACTACCCAGGGTACGCTCCAGCACATTCACCATCTCATATTCTAACAAGATGCTCACTAACTCATACAATAAACTGTCAAAAGGCTACACAAAACACCTGATAACTGCTAGGGATTTCATTTAGTCTATATGGAGCAGGTGGGATCTTATCCATTAGCAATCATTTTAAGACCTACTGCCTTTCTCTCTACAGTTTCCCACCTCTTCCTCCTTTTTGCCCTGTGAAAGATACCCATTAGTTAAACCTCAGTTGTCTCTGATCCTGCCCAGTTGTTTCAAAGCCTGTGCTGTGAAAGTAATGGCTTTTTCACTGGGTCATACTTTTACAGCCCCATATTTTTGATAAGGTCACTGATCCTTCAGGATGCTGATCCTTTAGGACAAGAGGTTACAGGCACAAACTTGAACATAGGAAGTTCCATCTTAACATGAGGAGGAACTACTTTACTTTGAGGGTGGCAGAGCACTGGCACAGGCTGCCCAGAGAGGACGTGGAGTCTCCCACTCTGGAGACATTCAAAACCCACCTGGATGCCGTCCTGTGCAACTGCTGTAGATGACCCTGCCCTGCCAGGGGGGTTGGACTAGATGATCTCCAGAGGTCCCTTCTAACCCTGACCGTTCTGTGATGCTAAAGAAATCTGAAGGACTGCTGCTCATCACAACACAGTCTCTTCAGCTCTGATGTAGACCAAGTGCCACCATGGAGGAACGCAACCCAAGGAATACTACCTGAAATAGCATGGCTTTGTTCTCCAGCCTGGGTGCAGCAAGAGGAAAGGGAACCACTATGGAAAGGAAGTTTACGCTGAATTTGAAAAGCCTCTTCAGGATCTAGTTGCTGCCAGGTAAACTCCCAGTTCCTTTCCTTATACATCATAGGAAGGGGCTACTGGAGTGGCTGTGAGACACTGAGAAGACAGGAGAGTCTTTGGGACAGGACAGGATGTTCCAGAGATCACAGACACACAGTGAGCTCCATAAAGAGCTTGAAGAAGGTTCTTTTGTTTCCTTCTAAGCGAACACATTTTGCTTTATGGGTTATGAGACTTAATCTGGGAGCATATGTCTTGCTGACACAGGATGACTGAGCAGTAAGACTCTATCAACAAGCCAAACTTGAAGAGTGGAGGGAGTTCTCCCTTTATCCAGCGTGCATGCTTTCAAAACCAGAATAGACATAGGCAAACTAAGAGCTGTATGATGAACATTTTCCTGCAAACCTTTTCACTTTCCTGCTTTGATGGAGGAATTCCTGTTCAGCTGGAAGAGACCCACAAAACAAAAGCTGTCTGCTTCCACTTGGAGAGAAGCAGAAATCATGTGTCAGCTATCTCCTTTCCTGCCAGCACAGTGAAAAGCAGCACCATCGAGCTCTTTGCCACAGGAGACCAACAGTTAGTTAACCTGTTCGCAAGGAAGATTGGCTCTACATACTCACACACACATGTGCACATACAGGTACACCACTGAGGGAGATGTCCTGTCAAACCCATCAGGAGCAAAAACAGACAGCATGGAAAATGCTTCAGTTAGGGTCTTCCCTATTTCTGGGATGAGAGCTGTCAAAATAAGAGGCTCCACATAAGTAACAAGTTGCCTCCTTCATACTCCTTTCCATAGGCTGTCTCCTTGTCTGAGGAATTCTGAGCTTACATCTGATGGGTTGTTACAGAGGAGACATTTCTAATAAAGAGGCGCGTTTGTAAGTTACATTTATGAAACTGATGGAGCAATGAGAGGCAGCTGTATGGACTTCCTCAGTGTCACACTGACTTTGTGTTTAAGGACAATCTGAAAAGCCAATGTATGGACAATTCTGACTGTCCCACTAGATTCGGGGAGTACTCACCTGGGCTAAGCCTGCAGCTGACTTCCATGGCTGGGTTCCACTCTCCATTCTTGCAAGTCAGGTATTTATAATCTCCTTTCAGCATGTAGCCTTCGACACACAGATACTCTATGACACTGCCTGAAGTCAGAGGGTTGTTGCAGGGGCTAGGGTGGCATTTATAGCCTCCATTCTCAGGCTGTGGTGGCTGGGGACAATCTGGAAAAAAAGACAAAGCATCATGGAGGATATCTCAGCGGAAGACATCTGTTGCACAATAGATTTGGCACATAGGCAGACTTCCACCTACAAACACCCACTAAATTAAGAAACTACCAAAACCGAGAAGAAAGATTGTTACAGTCCAGGCGGGTTTTGAATGTCTCCAGAGTGGGAGACTCCACCACCTCTCTGGGCAGCCTGTTCCAGTGCTCCACTACCCTCAAAGTAAAGAAGTTCCTTCTCATGTTAAGATGGAACTTCCTATGTTCAAGTTTATGCCCATTACCCCTCGTCCTATCACTGGGCGCCACTGAAAAAAGACTGCTCCCATCCCCCTGGCATCCTCCCATTAAGTATTTGTATGTATTAATAAGATCCCCCCTCAATCTTCTTTTCTCTAGACTAAAGAGACCCAAGTCCCTCAGCCTTTCCTCATAAGAAAGGTGCTCCAGTCCCCTAATCATCTTTGTTGCCCTTTGCTGGACCCTCTCCAGCAGTTCCCTGTCTTTCTTGAACTGGGGAGCCCAGAACTGGACACAGTACTCCAGATGCGGTCTCACCAGGGCAGAGTAGAGGGGGAGGATGACCTCCCTCGACCTGCTGGCCACACTCTTCTTGATGCACCCCAGGATGCCATTCGCCTTCTTGGCCGCCAGGGCACATTGCTGGCTCATGGTCATCCTGTTGTCCACCAGGACTCCCAGGTCCCTCTCCACAGAGCTGCTCTCCAGGAGGTCAGCCCCCAACCTGTACTGGTGCATGGGGTTATTCCTCCCCAGGTGCAGTACCCTACACTTACCCTTGTTGAACTTCATAAGGTTTCTTTCTGCCCAACTCTCCAGCCTGGCGAGGTCACGCTGTAAGGCAGCACAGCCTTCTGGTGTGTCAGCCACTCCTCCCAGTTTTGTGTCATCAGCAAACTTGCTGCTGGTACACTCTATCCCTTCATCCAGATCATCAGTGAATATGTTGAACAAAACTGGGCCCAGTATTGACCCCTGAGGGACACCACTTGTTACTAACCTCCAACTAGACTCTGCGCCACTAACCACAACCCTCTAAGCTCTATCTGTCAGCCAGTTCTCAATCCACCTCACTGTCCATTCATCTAAGCCACACTTCCTAAGCTTGCCTGTGAGGATGATGTGGGAGACAGTGTCGAAAGCCTTGCCAAAGTCAAGGTAGACAACATCCACTGCCTTCCCCTCATCCACCCATCTAGTCACTTCGTCATAGAAGGCTATCAGATTAGTCAGACATGACTTCCCCTTGGTGAATCCATGTTGACTACTTCTGATAATCTTCTTTTCATCCAGGTGCTTTGAGATGACTCCCAGAACAAGCTGCTCCATCATCTTCCCAGGGATGGAGGTGAGGCTGACCGGCCTGTAGTTTCCCGGGTCATCCTTCCTGCCCTTTTTGAAGACTGGAGTGACATTGGCTATCCTCCAGTCCTCAGGCACCTCACCTGTCCTCCAGGACCTTTCAAAGATAATGGAGAGAGGCCCAGCAATGACTTCCCCCAGCTCCCTCAGCACACGAGGGTGCATCCCATCAGGCCCCATGGATTTATGTATATCCAATTTATCTAACTGATCTTTAACATGCTCCAACGCTGCTCAGTTTCACCTCTGGTATGTCTTCTGCAACTGCTAAATACTTCTTGTTACCCCAGTAGTACAACGTAGTTGGCAGGCATCAAACTGGTGGTATTTTTGAACAGTGACATGTAAGTTTGTCACAAGAGAGATTCCACATGAGAGGCCCAGAAAATCCTTGGTGCTATCTTTTCCCCACAGCTGTTTCACTGGAGGCTGGTTCGACCTAACAACCAGGCTTTCCTATTAGCCTGATATGGAAAAAGCATGAGACCTCCTACTAAAATGAACGAAGAATGCAAACACCCCACTGTACTGTGGATACAATATCAAGGTACAGAGCTGTCCCATAAGCACCCTGGAAGCCTGTCACAGCACACTGATTTTAGTTATTTTGCACAGATATACCAACAACAGTACGGGGAACAGAGCTTTGCTGCAGTAGGACCAAAACAGTCCAGCCCATTTTTGAAAAGGATTTAGCTATATTACAAAGACATTTCTAAAAACCCCTCTGTTTACCTATGTGAAGTCTGGAGTGCTGAAGGCACTTTACATTTCTCCTCGCTTCTCCCCTATCCCGAGTAATGGATATAGACATAGCACATGCCAGAAATTTTCTTGTGGAAATTTCAATAGCCATTCAAGTAAAACTAACAAATCACAAATGAGGAAACTGCACAGAAAACAGGATATTTGTATTGCTTAGAATTTCCTCTCCTCTGGCAGGTCATGGTGACCCTGCAAAACAGCCCCAACACTCGCCACTGATGCCACGTATCTGCTTGACTGAAAGAGGGAGAAAGCCAGGTTTTTTTCCTTTTAAACACACATCAACTTCCCAAACTTCACAAAAGAAAATACGTGAAAGATCCCTCCTGAGATATGCTGGGGCATGGAAAACCAACCATCCCACCCACCCTACCCCATTACAGCATGGTGATCTAGGCCTGCCCTTAACCCCTTGAGCACATGTTCCTAGGTTTTACCTCTAAGCGCCCCACTTACTGTGGGACAAACAGAGAGAAACAGCTGGGCAAAGTTTAAGTAACTGGATTTGGGGCAAGATTTACAAAGCAAAAGAAAACTTTAGAGATGTGCTCCACTGTGGAAAAATTTGTTCAGTTGCTGCAGTGCAAGTGACCCTTCAACCTAATCACATGTGTGAATATATCACAGGTAGTGCCTTGTAAATGCCAGTAAACTCGAAGATGAAGTGCTGAGTGAAGCCAAAAGCCCTCTGGCATGAGTTGTGCCAGCTTCATAACTGCAATTCAATTTACTTCTTGAGAGAAAAGGTTAACAGGGGTCCAAGCAGCAGCCTTTCAAGAAGACTTTGTTCTTGAGGAGATTTATTCTTAACTAAGCTTCAGAGAAGCCACTGTCCTGTGCCTCATGAGTATTAACTGTTGCCTCTTCTGTGTTTCTTTATTTTTCCTTTCTGTAATAATTTCCCATTTTGTAACTGAGGTTTTAATCCTTAGCCTCATGTGGCTAAAACTTGCTTTCACTTTAAGCTTGTCCAGCACTCAGGATCAGCTGAAGTGACTGACTCATAGTACATTTCACATTCAGGCACACAGACAAATGCCCTGCTTCATCTGCAGCCCAAGACAGGGGTGTTTCTTGCTAAATTCTGGGGGACCTGTTTGAGCACCACAAATATTCTCAGCAGTTTAACAGGTACCTCTTTAGGCAATAGTAGAGAGTAGGGCAACAGGGGTTTTACCCCACAGTGCTACAGCAGCTGCTGAAACTTAAGAGCAGATGGGACAACTTCCCTACATCTTTTTATGCCACAGGAGGCACCTGGAATTGCTGGGGAGCCACGCACAGCTGCTCTCTGCTAAGTGGCTGCAGCAAACAGAGTTCATTCCCCCTGTACTCCCTTCTACTGAGCTATACTCATGTGTGGCCACTGTGCCAGAAGCCCTTTTGGACCAGGCAGTGACTCGCTGTTCAATTCCTCTTTTGTTGTCAAGTGCCACCTACACTGATGAGATTTCTGAGTTCTGGACAAAAATCAGCCAGCCAACAAGAAAGAAGCACTCATTTACATTGCAGCATCACTCTCAAAGGCTTGGAAATACCACCACATCAGTTACCTACAGAACCCTGCCTTGGCCTCCTTGTGCAAGGGCTTCAGGAGTTGATACGCAGCTACACAACTGCAGATTGGTTTCCTCCCCACCTCCACAGGCTATTTGGCACAAAAGGAGAGAGGCAGCTGATAAGTGTGTTCAGTCAGTTGTCCCTGACTTGTCCTCTTCACACAAGGAAAAGATTGCAGAATTAGTCACCTCCCACTTTTTTTCCCCCCACCTCCTTAAGTCATTTGTCATCACAGCATCCAAAAGCATCACACGTATTTTAAAATGTCACCTTCACTGTGACAGAAAAACACTGTTTATGTGCTAGGGAAAAGAGATCCAGATCAGGCAGCCAGTACATCAACACCCTCCACCCTCAACCTGACTGAGCATCTCTGGGCAACCCCAGCACCCCTGGAAGACCACCTGAACCGTCCCTTGCCAGGCAGCCTCATGGGAACTGAGTGTCTCAGGGGCTTGCAGCTTTGAAGAGGGCTACTCGACAGTGCTGATCACTTTAAAGATTGCTGGAGGTGGCCCAGGCAAGGGTTGGGTGGGCAAATGATGGCCTGGTGCTACCTGAAAAAAAACAAAACAAAACAAAAACCTGAGGAAGCCAAACACCTCTGCTCCCTGCTGGACCAACTCCGTTTCCCTGGCATCTCTGAGAGCTCAGCACCTCTGCAAACCACGGCCCGGCCCAGCCCAACACAGGCACCCAGAAAGCTTAGGACAGACAATGCAGCTTTCCAGTAGAGCTTTCCAGTTTTCAGTCCCCTCAGCTTTCACATGCTCCATAAGATGTTTTTTTTAAATTGCCTCTGTATGTGCACCCTAAACAGGGGCTAACAGAAGAAAAGGTAGAGTGTGATTCTGCACAACCCTTTATCTCAAACAGCAGCAAAGCTTAAGCCCCGAATTTGCAGCACTGGTACACCCACAGCAATACAGAACCCGGCAGAGCAACCCATTTACCACTTCTTACACAATAAACCACTGACACACCAGGGGTGAAAAGGGCTGGGTGCCAACTACTGCCTGAATGCATGTCCAGAGCGGCCCCCTCCTGGCTATGCTCTGTAGCCAGAAGGTGCAGATGGATAGGAATAGCTGCCTGCATGAGCTGTTTATTAGCTCTCTAGAGCATGGCTGTGTCATGAGGGTTCGGTCCCGGGTCTGGGAGCAGCCTGACCCAGCTCTCCTTCTAGCTCATGCTCCCTAAGCTGTCTGCTTGCGTTTAACCCTCAGCAGCGTTTGCATGCTGCTGTGTGGCCCAGCCCCAGGCTACAGTGTTGCTGTTTGGATATTA